TGTAGGACGGCTAGTGTGTAGGTAGGACAAGGTAGGACGGCTGTAGGACGGCTTGACGGCTGTAGGACGGCTAGTGAATAATATTATATACAATTACACAAGGACTCCAACCATATTCCTTATTTGTCTAACAATATGCTATTGGGAGCATTTTTGCTCACCACTAAAATAGCAAACTAAGAAATGGATGGTGAGCATCCACCAAAGTTAATGGTGGTGAGCACATTTTTTCCTTATTTTAGCCTAAACAATACTATTTGGCCCTAAGATTTGTCCTCCGTGGGTTTGCGTAGCTGGTTTTAGTACATGTAATTAAACAGAGACATGCTTTGTCATCAAATTGTTAGGGAGGAGGATTCTCTACCCTCATATTCCCATCTCCTTCCATCCCCTCATCTCACACACTGCTTTTTGTCTTATTATTTCTATAAAAAAATCAACATAAAATTGTTGACATGACTTAACCATAACCGTTCAAATGGGAGGGCATGGAAGGGTAGAGAGATTAGAAGGGTAGAGAATCCTCCTCCAATTGTCAGTGGCTTCTGCCAAGTGAGGGAGGTTGCTTGGAGGCAGAAGGCATTGAGAAAACATGGGGGTTCAAACAAAAATCGATTACTCATGAAGTAGCTATCTCAAGCTCAAAATGTCAAATTGATATGGTCTTACCCGGTTGAAAGCTAACCTTTTCTTGGTGGGTGCTTGTGTTATTTGTACCTGAGGGTTTGGCCACGGGGCTGATTAACTAACTATTGATTTTCAGGTTGGGGAAACAGTGCGTGATGTGGTGTTCTTGGACACTTATGAGTTTTTTGCTGCAGCTCAGAAAAAGTAAGAGACTGTTTGCTATTTAAGTTAGTTTTATCTGTTTTGGAAATCTTTTGACATTACAGGGTAGATTATGCAATTGTTGGAAGTGTATTCTATTGCATGTGATTCAATGGATTTCTTGTTCATTGGTTTATACTACCACTACTACTACTACTACTACTACTACTACTATTTTAATGAAATTTCGTTTGCAAGTTAGAGGTTACAAGAAAAAATAAGACCGGTCAGGAACTTGTTAATTGTTTTACAAGAACACGAGTTGGCTTTATAAGCAACAATCTCAAATTGTGTTATGTCCTTGTCTTCTGTTTAACTTAATCTAGGCCTCTATGTTTAATCATATTATGCTACTTGACATATTATGCTGCTAACCAAATCAGTTATTGGCAGGTATCCGTATGTTTATAACAATCGTGGAACTGAAATTCACTGCTTAAAGGTTAGCGTACTGCTTTATGTATTTTGGGACTTTCGGATTTATTACTGATGACTCTAATAAATTATATCTTTACTATCTGATAACTGATCAGTTCATAAAAAGGTGGGATATGGTTTTTTAAATCTTAGGTTGGTGATGGTATAGGACAGCAGCAAAAGTATACTTTAAGATTGGTGCATTCCTTCTTTCCTCAATCAATAAATCTTTGATTCCCTGTTATTTATATAGAGATGCTTACTCTGGATATCATTTTTTCGACAGACCAGATATGGGAGACTAGAAACACATGTTTATAGCACAGCTCCACTAGAATTTCTAAAAGGTTATATGTATATCTTGTCCATGTAGGAACATGGTGCAGTTTCTAGGCTTCAGTTTTTGGACAAGCACTAACTGTTGGCATCAATAAACAATCTTGGGCAGCTTCATTATCACGATATGACAAACGGTGTGATGGCAGGTAGTTACAGGACTGGGTTAGGCTGCACTAATGTGATGCAGGTGAACCCCTACGATGGGTTTGTTGCTTTGGGTCATTCTCTCGGTACAGTTTCCATGTGGAAGCCTACAACATGTGTTCCTCTTCTGAAGCTGCTGTGTCACAGGGGCTCCACCTAGGCAATGGCATTCCACCCTAATAATGGCCACAGCTGGTAAAGAGAATAAAATTAAGCTCTGGGACTTGAAAACTTCAGGATGAGCCGCTCCAAACTTTACCTGGCCAAACAAACACTTTGGCCTTCAGTCAGAAGGGTCTTCTTGCTTATGCAGATGGTTCACGTGCAGTAGTCCCGAACGATTTGTCTCGGACTCAGAGCTTTGAGAAAAAGACATATATGACTCATAAAATGGTTAAAGGTTACCCAATAGGAAATGTGTTGTTTCGACCTTATGAAGATGTTCTAGGCATAGGGCACTCCATGGGGTGGTCGAGAATTCTGATTCCTGGTTCTGATGAACCCAACTTTGATTCGTGGGTGGCAAATCCATTTGAAAACCGTGAACAGAGAAGCGAGAGGCGAGTGCTGTCTCTATTGGTTAGGCTCCCGGCCCACAGCCATTGGCACAGTGATGCCTGAGAGGAAGAAACGGATACCAACAAAGCAAGAGAAAGAGTCTAACATTGAAGCTGCCAACGGAAGTGTCTCGAAGAAGAAAACGAAGGGGAGGAATAAGCTGGGCAAGAGGGCGACGAAGAAGAAGGAGATGATTGCAAATGCCAAGAGGCCTTTCTTGGAGCAACAAATGAAAGAGGGAAGAACAAGTGGCTAGAAAGAAGCTGAAAACAACTGAACAAGTGGAGTTATCAGCAACTTTGAAACGGTTTGCTCGCAAGCAAGCAACTACATAACCCAAGAAGAGAAATCCTAATATTCAAAAAATCTAATGACAAGGTAGGTAGGTAGGTAGGTCAAGGTCCTAATGCTCTCAGTTTTGGACTGGTTGAAAAGCAATTTTCAATCTTGAAGTCTTTGATTATTGTTCTCGTTGAGTAAAGTCGGAAAGGAGGTTATATGGAACAGGTCCATCGCCTTTATGGCATCCCTGCCTTCTCATACATGGCATATTGGGAGTCTTGAAAGGCCATGGTTGAAGAGAACCTGTTCGTCCTCGTAAATTCCCAACACTTTGTATTCATCAGTGTTTTAAAAAACTCGTCTCTGGGCATTCCTAGTCAGCCTTGGATGTGGGGTGGCAACATTTTCGCATTTGTTTTGTGAGTGTCTACCAAATACTGACCTAGGGTTCGCTGAGCGTGCCTGAGGCGTCGACTAGGCATCCATTTTTAATTTTTAAGTTGCTGAAATTTGTAATTTTTGAGTTGCAGACCATGAAAACCATCAAAGGAGATGAAGATGATGACTATGTTTTTACTTGAGTTCGTTTTTTTATATATATATTTTTTCTTTTTAAAGCTTAAATTGACCCCATTTTGCTGGCATTTATTACCCAACTATTTTTCACATTTTTATTTTAAATATTTTTTTAATGACATTTATTACCCCACTATATTTTTCTTTTCACTTTTTTTTTTCAATATTGAATAATGTTAGGTCGATTAAATTTGTAAACTAAATGATGTGTCACTAATAAAAGATAAGCACGTTAATCAACACTTAATAATTCAATCATCAACTTCTATATTATTTAGTTTACAAAATTTAGTAACATTACCTTTTATTATTGTGCTTTCTCATATACTATATATATATATATATATATATATATATATTAGATAATAATTTTTATTAGTTATTATTTTACTAATATTCTCATGATTGGCCAGTAGAAAAAAAAACATTTTTTTATTTTTATATTTTTGAATGTTATATTATTCCTTACTTTAAACGTCGTTAGTTCAAAAAAAAAAAAAAGTTGTTACATTTATCCTTATTTCTCTTTTTCAAAGACTACCTATTCCATCCAAATATTACCTAAAACTATATATATATATATATGGACAAATATTTATGCAAACCTTTGGATTACAAAACATCAAAGGTCTTTATTCATTCATTAAATGACATGGATGCTTACGTAGACTTTAACTTATATTAAAGATAAAAACAAAACTAAAAAAGCATAAAATATGAAAGTAATCAAAAATAAAATTAAAAATGAAGAAACCTTAGATGTAAGCGTGCAAAATAGAAAGGAGGTAGAACTCTATTGATTCAAAGTATTGTAACCTCCATCTCCCTCTTTGATAATGAGGTATGCAACTTTCATGGGATTGATATGAAATTTTGATGGCTTCTACAATGAAATTTTTTTTTTTTTTTTTTTAACAAATGATATTATCTACGCTAAGGAGGAGTGGATGGGCTTAGCCTCATAATGGGCTAGCAATAATGTGGTTCAAACTCACATTTGACGAGAATCGAACCTAAAATCTCTCACTTACAAATGAAGAGGAAGATCACTGGACCGTAAATCCTATATTATTGTAAGCAAAACAAAACCCTAAACCCGATATTGTTGTTCATTAGGTAAGCAAAACAAAACTGTAAACCCTAATTATTGTTCATAAATGTAGGGTGATTAAATTAGGTTTTGCAAAATCTTTTTAGTTTTGTCAATTTAGGTCTTTGATGAGTTTTCAACTTTTTTTTAGTTTTCGAATCAAACAAACAACTATCTCTTTTGATTTCATTCGTGTGCGCTTTCAATTTTTTTCATTGTAGTAGTTTCGTTTATGCTGGGATTAATCCTATGCCTGGTATCACGGTTTTTGTTAAATCATGCTTTTTTTGTTATTTACTAAGGTTCATTTTTTATAAAATGAAAGAAAAAATTTCATCCAAAGCATTGCAGACCTCATCAACAAAGAGGAAGATGGGGGTTACAATTATTTTCACGTATCTGTTTTCTTAATTTTTTTGATTTTTTACTATGGGTTCAAAGTTTGATTATTTGTTTTTTCAATTTTATCCTACTAGATATTTATTTTTAATTTAGATTACTGTTTTCTTTATTAATTATAATCCACATCATCATCCAAGTCATTTAACGTTTAAAACTCTCCACATCACTTTTAATCTAGACCGTTGAATGTTATAAAATTTAAAGCTACAAAGAAGTGTAAAAGTGTTTGTAAAAATATTTGTCCTTTCATCGTATCTCATATATAAATAAGCACTTACTTAAGAAGATGTTTGAATATCGATTAATTTGATTGCTTAAATGACTTCTGAAAAGACTATTCCATCCATACTTTGTTGTTAAAGACAAAAAGTAATATAGTTTGAGCTGTAAAGCCTGAGTGTTCTTGTTAAAAAATCACTCCAAATGATTAAATCAAGAAAATGTTTCTTGTTAAAAAAAAAAAAAAAAAAAAACAAAATCAAGAGAATGTACGGATCCAAAAACACTCTCTTCCCCACTATATTTCTTTCTCCTATCATTGTCGTTCTGTATTTGTTAATGTTCAGTGGCTACAAATCTGTTCCGCCGGCGGTGCGTCCCAGTTGGCAGTTCGGTTCTTCAGTTGGTTGAAATCATGAATGCATTGCTCTGTCGTCATGCCTGCAACTCGCTTTCGCTCGGCAGCGAGTTTCTTCCCAGCAACTCGGTCAAATTTGCTCTCCCAATTCTTTTCCCAAGCTTTATGAGCATCACAGAGATCAAGGGTGCCGTTGGCCCAGTGGGTCCAGCTCCATCCTTTGTAGAGGCTCAACATCACGTCCGCCACGCATGGCCCTCGGCACACAGGCGTGCAAGGCCTGCACTTGGCCCCGCTCAATGGCCCTGGGCTTGACAAGGACGCCACCGGCACTCCAAAGCGGTGTGGCGGGAACTCGTACTGGCGGTCTGTTACGATACAAAAGGGGAGTCGTTTAGTGACGTAAGGTACCCCTTGGCTGGTGAGTTGGGCCTTGAAGGCGGTTTCGGAGTTGAGTTGGTGGAGTCCGGCTGCGTCGAGCTGGGGAAGGAGGGAGAGGCGGGAGAGGGCGACAGTGGAGGTGTTGAGGTCGCCAACTCCAAAGCGGTCGTTGAGTCCGCCATAGCTGGAGCCTGGTGGGACCAGGTAGTGACCGGGCACGAAGTATTTGGGGTGGAGGGGGGCGTTCCAGTAGCCGTCAACTCGGGTTCGGACAATCCAGTCGTAGGTGAAGTTGTTCTGTTTTTGGTAAGCTTGGATCATAGTTAGGCAGCCTTCCACCAGGTTGAAATATTGCAACAGACCCTGCACATGTATGACTCATAAAATAAATGTAATATAATTACTTAGAAGTTGGAATTTCATGAATTAAAATTTCCACTTTTTATATTATGTATCAACTATCAAACAAGAAAAAGAAAAGAGAGCAACGGAAGAGACAAAATGACGTTTTATTTCTCTTTAAATGTTATGTTAATTCAAGAGAAAAAATGACTTTTTAGACCTTTCCTTGCTGCTACAATTTAATTAAGGGCTTTAGATCGAGATCCAAAAACATATATAACTTTTAGAAGTGAGTTCAGTTATCTAATTATATATTTTTATTTTTTTATACTTATTTTATATTTTTTAAATATTAAAAATCAATTAATACTGCACTTTTCAACTCAAAAAAAATCTAATTAACATCTTATAACAAAAAAAGCCAATACACTAACATAAATCTATCTGCAAAATATTTTATCCGAACTCAAGTAACAATATATGAATGTATATTATACCTATAAACGAGATATGAAACCTAACTAAAGGTAAAAAATATATAATATGCCTATAAGTAAGATACATTAATATGTGACGGGTTGATTATAAAAAAAAACTGTCATAATTGTAAGATCCCACATCGTTCAGAGGAGTGATCTTTATATGTATATTCTCATCCCTACCTAGTACGAGACCTTTTGAAAGCTCACTGGCTTCGGGTTCCATAGGAATTCCGAAATTAAGCGAGAAGGGGCTAGAACAATCCCATAATGGGTGACCAACTGAGAAGTTGCTCGTGAGTTCCCAAAAACAAAACCGTGAGAGAATGGTAAGCCCAAAGTGGATAATATCGTGCTACGGTGGTGGAGTGGGCCCAGGAAGTAATCCGCCTTGGGGCGGGATGTGACAATTGGTATCAGAACCTAACCCTGACCGTGGTGTGCCGACGAGGACGTCGGGCCCCCAAGGGGATGGATTGTAAGATCCCACATCGTCCAGGGGAGTGATCCTTATATGTATATTCTCATCCCTATGTAGCACGAGGCCTTTTGGGAGCTCACTAGTTTCGGGTTCCGTAGGAACTCTGAAGTTAAATGAGAAGGAGACTAGAGCAATCCCATGATGAGTGACCCACTGGGAAATTGCTCGTGAGTTCCCAAAAACAAAACCGTGAAGAAATGGTAAGCCCAAAACGAACAATATCGTGCTACAGTGATGGAGTGGGCTCCGAAAGTGATCCCTCCGGGCTGGGATGTAACAATAATAGTAAGAACAAAAAATAACAAATAAAAAAATAAAAATTGATATATATTGATTAAAAAAATTAAAAATAAAATCTATAATAGTTGATTATAAAAAAAAATCTGCCATATAAGTAAGAACATAAAATAATGAAAAAATAAATAAAAATTGATATAAATTGATTATAAAAATTAAAAATAAAATCTATGATAGGGTTTAAAGCAGAAGAAAGAACAAAAAATAACGAAAAAATCAAAGAAATAATCAGGAAGAAATTTAATTTTTATAATAAATTTTATCATTAATTATTGATAACAAAATAATTAAATTTAAAAAATTGAATTTATTTTAATAAATTAAACTAGTTCTACTATTACTTTTAAAAATTAAACTTATATATCAAGTTTCCTCTTTATTTAAATTATTATGATTATTCAACAGTTGGTTGTTCAGCTGGCCTAAGTATAATAAATTAACATAAATTCTATGGCATGTGAGTGCATTCTTTGTACTTCCTCCTCCTTGTCCTACGCGTAGCTCCGACTAAGAGGTTAGAGCACACGATTGAAACGGCAACTAGAAGTAATTGTTGTAAACACGTTATATACCACGATTAGTCACGTTCCCTAATCTTCTTTCTTTCTGGTCCAGCCAAAATCAATTAATTCCGTGTGACTATACTATAATATCCCAAAACAGAAATATAGTTAATAGTTTATGTTATTTCTGTTTCAAGAGAGAAATTACAAAAAAAAAAAAAAAAAAAAAAAAGAAAAAAGAGAGGAAGAATTGAGAAAGAAAGAGGAACCTGGATGCCATTGGGCGAGTTCTGGGCGGTTAGGACTCGGAGCTGGAACTCAGTCTCGGGCATTGGTTTGGGGTGGAAGATTTTGACGGCGGCGATCCTTGGCGCCGATTTGAGGAGCGAGAACTTGAAGGCGTTGGGGTCCACAGGACTGTGCAAGAAAAGATCGGAATTGGAATATTTGTTGAGAATCTTATCGAGGATGGACGGCCCCGTGAGCTCGAACCTCCGGGCCCCACCTACCAAGCAGACGGCGATTCTGGAGCGACCCAATTCATCCTCCTTCTTCTTCTTGATCAACGACTCGGTCCGATTTTGATTTTGGTTTGGAGTCCCTGTAGGTGAAGTGGGCGAAGCAATTGGCGTTGAATTGAAGTTGTTGGACGGCACCTGGAACTGGAAGGCACGGCCGCCGCGAAAGATGGATCGGATGGGAGCAAAAGGGATATTGGTGGGAGAGAAAAAAGAAGAGGAAGAAGAGAAGGAGGAGAGCGAGAGGAAGAGTATGAGAGATAGGGGAGGGATGAGTAAGAGCAGCCGGCGCCAATCGAGATCGGAAAACCATCTGGAGAAATAGACGGTCATCCTGTTTTCAGGGAGGAGGGTTCTCCACTTTACCATGTCATCTGATTAGATAGATGTTGACGATGATGATGGTGCTGGATTGGATCCCGTGGCAATAAGTGGCTTGAGAAATTAGGGGGTGACTTTGCGTTTACTCCTCCCTCTTCACCTCAACACTTTAATCACACCACTTTGATGTTATTCCCATATTTTTCGGTTTCCGCTGCCAACTTTGTTTTGCTTTTGGGTGTTGGATGGGATCGACTGTGGAGAAGGAAGGAAGATGGCAAAGCGTTTTGGTGTGAGGGGACGATATGAGATTCTTAAAATTAGGTTTAAAGGAGGATCATGATATAATGACGTGATATTTTAGGGGCAGAGGAATTTTCCGTTTCGGGAGCCTACGGGCTCTTGTTGACTTACTTGATCCAGCTGTCTGGGTTTGGTTTTTAATTTTCTTGGGTTTGACTCGGTGTCTATTGTTTGGTTGGTAAACTAGCTACATCCTATTGTATCTTCTTGGGCTCTGGACTTGCCTATGCTTGTCTATCTTCGACTTTTCCGGCTTCCATGGGAAAAGGCCAAGGGCAAAGTATAAATAATGCTGGCTTCAATAGGAAAAGGCCAAGGGCAAAGTATTAATAATGCTTGCTTCAATAGGAAGAGTTAGGGTTTGTTTGGAATTGTATTTTAAATAATTAAAAGTGTTTTTGTTAAAAAATATTTTTGAAACTATTTCTTAGTAAAATTGCAAGTGAATTTTGGAAAGACATTTGAAGTGTGTCCTACGAAAAGCACATAACTGTTGCTTTTTGCTGGAAGCACTTCTAGTGCTTTTGGAACTCAATAATATTTTTACTAAAAACACTTTCAGTCGTTGTAAAAGCATTTTCAAGCGAGTTCGTAGTCTAATTTGTTAATTGCATAGACGTGTGAAGTGATAAGTGTGAAAAATAGATAGGGAAGCTTTGCATTCTTTTTTTTATTATTTTTTGTCCCTCTCAATTCTTTTCTTTTTCGGTTCCCATAAATATATTTTCTATAATTAAAGGAAAATAGAATTAAGGGGGAAAAAACAAGAAGAAAACGGTAACGTGTTCAACATTTTTAAGTTGGGCCTCTACGGTTCATTAGCCCAAGAAAATGAAATTTTGGGTGCTGTAACTTGGAAGTGAGGTGAGGACGGGGTTGGGTTGTGCATGCAAGTTGCAACGACGACGGTCGGAGTTTCAGTTTCGAGCAGTGGAGCAGCAAATAGCAATGCAAGGAGGATCATCGGGGATCGGATATGGTCTGAAATACCACGTGAACTCTAGAAATCCCTAATCCCCATTTCCCTTCTTTTACCCTTTTTCCCCCAAATTCATAAACCCTACTGATTCGATTTCGATTCCCATTCGAACAATCGAACAATCGGCCAGGCTAGATGTATATCAGATGTTAAAGCCGACACAGATCATACTAGCTTCATCACCGGCACTCTCAGCCTCAAAGAAGAAAACGAGGTTTGCCTGCCTGCTTTCTTCCCTCTCGTCGAATTCTTTCAAACAAAATCGGTGGATCGGAATAATTGAATTGAAATGTTGAAATTGAGTAGGTGCATTTGATTCGGCTCTCTTCCGATGGAACCGAACTCGTGTGCGAGGGTTTGTTTTCTAACCCCCAACGAGATCTGGGACCTTGCTTCCTGTCCCTTCGACCAACGCATCTTGTCTACTGTTTACTCTACTGGTAATTGCTATTCTGTTTTCTTCTTATTCTGATTATTTCGGATTTCCCCTGATATGATACCTTTGAACCTTTTGAATAATGCTTGGATGACATATTCTCAGTGTTAATTGGATGCTTTTCCTCTTTTATCTTTCCTATTTCTCTTAAGTTTTATGCTAATAATAATGGTAATTATGCATTTTCATCTTTTAGTTTATCTTGCTTCTCTATTTGTATTTTGCTTTCAATTCTCTCCAAGTCCAGTATGTCAGACATTGGCAGTGTTTTTATAAAGTTCAATGTGCTTGAAGGTGAGTCATACGGAGCAGCAATATGGCAGATCCCCGAATTATACGGTGAATTGAATTCCCCTCAGTTGGAAAGAATTACCTCCCTCGACTCACAGGTTGGCAAGATCAAGTGGTCAGTATGTTAAGACTGCTCTGTCTCTCGGCATCATTTAGTTGCCCGATTGTGTTTTATTAATTTTGAATTTATCTTTCATCTTCCCAACCATCTTTTCTTTTCTGTTGTTGTCTTTTTTGGAATGAAATAGAAAGATGTATGCCACCACAGAAAAAGGATCTCTAGAAATATAAATGATTACGTTAGTAGTTAAATTTAAGGAATCATTATGTTATGCTTAGAAGGAAGATGCTCATCTAATGTTCTTGGATCATGTAGGTTTGTGGAGGAGTATTTGGTGTATTCTTGTAACAGGCGTTACTTTGCAATAAATTTCTTGTGGAATATAACTCGAGTTTGTTTCGTGTTATTTGTTTTGAGATGTGGTTTGGTATGAACTTTGTATTATATGTTGGACTCATTGATTCTTTGACTCTCTTATGCAATGTGAATATACATTGAACAGCATTCTTTAGTGGCCATCGGGAAGGCATGATAAGTTGATCAGCATTGATGAAGAAAATTTGTCCTTATGGAGCTTAGATTTGTCCAAAAAAGCTGCTCAGGTAATTTTATGATGAATTTCCTTTAGAAATTTCTCGTCAATCATCTGCCTATGTGATACATGTTTATGGATAAGTAAACCATATTCTCGGTCTCTTTTCAAAATTTAAAATGGAAAACTTTGGTTCCGGTCCCTGGTTGACCAAAATCTTAGACTGAAACTTTATTTATTTGAATACTTTGATTCAAGGACAAAATATAAATTTCAGTATTAATAAATAGTTTTTAAAATGAAAATTAACAATTCCTTCCTAAAATCATGCAAAGTTCAATACCAAATAGGGATTTTCAAAATTTTCCTCAAATTTGAATTATGTGAAATTAGATCAAATTTTTTTATTTATTACAATTTTTTTATTTTTTAATTTGGGTACGTTTACAAAAGGGTACATTTTATTTTAAAATATGGATACATTGTAGTTAAAAAAAATTGGTTGGTTTTACATAAAACAAAGTGGTACCCCCCCTATTTTTTTTAAAATGAAAAGTGGGTACTTTTTTAATTTATTTATTTTTTTATGAAAAGTGGGTACATTTTTTTTTATTTTATGAAAAATGGTACATTTAGGTTCTCATCTCTCATTTTTTTAATTTCATTGTTTGAAACCTTATTCAATTTCAATTTTTGATCAACGTTCTTTGGTTTTTATGCACGTCATTGTTTCAATAATATAATATTTACATGACAAAGAGGATTCTATTAATATGTTTTAAATTTTTTTTCTTTTAAATTAGAGATGTTAAAATCATTTATAGGTGAGGTTTAAACAAAAAACAACAAAATGTCGTTTTGTGAATTTGCGTTATTATCCTTAACTTTTTTGTTGTGATAGAAGACTAAATGGTCTTTTCACCTTCTTTAGGTTGACAAAGAAGGTTGTATTAATATGTAGTTTAGATTTATGACAAATGCATTTTCAATTTGTACTCAAATTTAATTTGCAACCATTTTTTTAGTTTTAGTTTTAGTTTGTACCCATATATTTTTGTGCCTGTATTTTAAAACTTTTATTTGTACCTATATTTTTTTAATCTTTTATTTGTACTTATTTGTACCCATTTTTCATTAAAAATGTATCACTTTGTTATATATACGTAAAATGTAATTGTACCCATTTTCTCAATGTAATCTATTCACTTTTTTATTATTTTTTATTTTTTTATTTATAATTTTATAATTTTATTTATTTATTTATATGCCATATTTTATAATAATTTTTTTATTATTTAAAATGGATCAACAACAACAATAAAATCTTATCCTATTAAATGGGCTTGGCTATATCACCATTACGCTCGGTTCTGTGCTACGTCTTCCGTTAGATTCAAGTATTCAAAATCTTTTCTTAGAGTCTCTTTCCAAGTCTTCCTAGATCTTTTTCTACCCTTTCGACCTTGAACTTTTGTCTCGTAATCGCATCTTTTAATAGGAGTGTCTGTAGGCATTCGTTTCACATATCCAAACCACCTTAACCGATTTTCTCTTATTTTTCCTTCAATCTTGGCTACTCCTACTTAACCCCGGATATCCTCATTCCGTATCCTTTCTCGTGTGCCCACACATCCAACGAAGCATTCTCATCTTCGCTAAACTCATTGTATGTACGTGTTGATGATTCACCGTCCAACATTCTGTGCCATAAAGCATTGTTGGCTTTATTGCCGTCCTGTAGAAATTTTCCTTGAGCTTTAGTGACATACAACGGCTGCACAACACACCTGATGCATTTTTCCACTTCATTCATTCAGCTTGTATTGTATGGTTAAGGTCTTCATCCAACTCTCCATTCTTTTGCTAGATTGATCCTAGGTAGTGAAAGCGATCGCTCTTTGGTACTTCCTAATATATAATCCTCACCCCTAACTCTTCTGAACCTCCGTTCGCACTGAACTTGCACTCAATATACTCTATCATCGACCAACTTAGGTGAAGACCTTTAAATTCCAACACTTCTCTCCAAAGGTTAAGCTTCTCTATTACTCATTCCTAAGTTTCATCTATCAACATTATATCGTCTGCGAAAAGCATACACCAAGGAATATCATCTTGAATATGTTACGTTAACTCATCCATTACCAATGCAAAAAAGGAAAGACTTAAAGATGAACCTTTATGTAACTCTACAGTTATGAGAAAGCTTTTGGTTTGTCATTCATGAGTTCTTACGGCAGTCCTTACTCCATCATACATATCCTTTATAGTTTGGATATATGCTACTCGTACTCCTATCTTCTCTAAATCCCTCTAAAGAATGTCTCTTGGAACCGTATCATATGCTTTTTTCATGATCTATAATGGTTTATGATTAACCCAGATTAGACTTATGATGAGATTCAAGTGACGATTCTTGACTGGAAAGACAAAGTTTTTAGGAACAAAACCGTTTGTATGGTGAAAGTTTTATGGAGAAACCACTTTGTTGAGGAAGTTACTTGGGAGACAGAGGAACGTATGCGAGATCTTTATCCACGTTTATTCTTTGACTGATCTTTAGGAGTGTTGAAATTTTATCTCTTAAAGGGAGTAGATTGTGACGATCCGTCCCTAAATTTTCTATGTAATTTTCTCCCTGAGTGTAAATTGACGTTTATGCCCCTTTTGGCAAAAGTGGAACTTGACGTGCTTGTAGTATTAGAGCGTATATTATGATTACACTCAGTTTTATGTCAGATTTCCTCTGCATCTGCATGAACTCATGTGTTAGCATAAATTGATGGGCACTTGATTTTATTATGCTACTGTTGTGATATTGTGATTTGTCGTATGGATTTATTGTTGATTTACATTGATTTCATACTTATATGTAGTATGATTTTCTGGAAACTATATATGTTTTACGGCGATGGGTTAGTATATTCCGAAAATAAATGTGTTTATAAACCTTTGTTTTTGCCTACTCATCATTCTGTTTTTCGTCCCTCCAGGTCCTAGTTAGTTGATTACTCAATGGCATACGAGGAATATCTGGCGGTTCTGACATACCCTCTAAATAAATGTAGGAGTTTTTCCTGTTGTGTAATAAGCACTTTAACTAGTTTCGACTACACACTTTTATGTCATCTATGCTCTGAACACTTGTGTTTTATGGGTTTTTCCCACTACTGCACACTCGCTACTTTAGTTTAAATAAGTTTTAGATTTGGTTTAAATTTATCCATAATTTTATGCATCACTTTCCTTTTGGTTACGTCACATTCAGGTGATGGCCAGCATGCCTCGATTCCGGTCGGGGTGTGTCAGTTTGGTATCAGAGCATAGGTTTGGCAGTCCTGCATTCCTTGTAGGTGTTATAGGTCCTAATCATTTTTTATCTCTTATGTCAGTATCATGCCACCTCATACAGCGCCACCTGTCCATTATGAAACTAATTTTCTTGATTTTGGGTAACGCATCGCTAGCACCATTCAATTTACACTTCACCCTCCCCAAAGGACTACTTTAGAGACCGTATCCCATCTTCAAATAAATAATTTCTTTGGTAATGAGGAACCCGAGAATTCCGAGGTGGATCAACCATGTTGAAAAGACCTTTCACGTTATGCAGCGATAGGGGAATTTTTCAGCAGAGAGATGGGTCGAGACAGCGACTTGGTTCTTTCGTCTGGGAGCGGAATCATGGTGGATTAGGAGTCACGCCTATTGTCTGTTCAAGATGCCATAAATTGGGATGTTTTTAGGCGCCTGTTTGAGGCTAGATTCACATCTCCGAAATACAAGGATCAGAAGAAAAATGAATTCACAAAGATGAAACAAGGTAAAATGTCAGTCATATAGTACGATTGGAAGTTCATTAACTTATCCTGTTATTGTCCGGAGATCGTTGGGAATCCCAGAGAGATGCTTTGTTATTTTAAGATGGGGACTCGTAAGCGACTGCGTTCTTTGGCGACTTCTACTCCATGCTCTACCTACCAAGAATTATTTGAGGTTCTGCTTCGTGTTGAAGATTCTGAGAATGCTCGTGATGATGACGATGATGAAGAGGCAAGGTTATGGCTGAGAAATCTTTCACAAAGCATCGATAGTAGCTAGCAAGACTAAGAAAACTCCGTACTTCAGTGACAGTTTGAGGTTTCTCCCAATTTTCCACTGCTGCTACTTTCTGAGGATCCACGAGAACACCCTGAGCTGATATCACGTGTCCCAAGAATGACACCTGATCCAGCCAGAACTGACATTTACTAAATTTAGCATACAATTGATTCTCCCTTAACTTCTTCAAAACCACACGTAAATGTCTAACATGGTCAACCTTGCTCTTATAATACACCAAAATGTCATAATTACAAAACTGTCAAGATACGGACGGAATACCCGATTCATTAGGTCGATAAAAGCTGCTGGAGCATTAGTTAACCCGAATGTCATCACAAGAAACTCATAATGATCGCGTTCTCTTTAGCAAGAACCTTTCCATTCTCATCCTTGATGCGCCTCACTTGGTTCAAGTCTCTTGTCTTCTTTTCCCTTGCTCTAGCTAGTTTATAGATATCCAACTCTCATTCTTTGGTATCTAGTTGCTTATACATATCGTCAAAAGTCACTAGCTTCGCTTCTCTTACCGCTTTCTTCGCCTCCTTTTTCGCTATTCTATACCTTTCACCATTTTTGTTATTTAAAATGAACCAATATTTAAACATAAAAATATTCAAAATAAAAAATTGGATCAGTTTTCTCACAATTCTAATTTGAGAAAAAATAAATAAATAAATATCCCTATTTGATATTAATCGTTGCATGATTTAATAATTTTGTTATCAAATTTCTTACATGATATTGAAATTTAACATTTTGTCCTTCAATCAAAGTATTCAAATTAATAAAGTTTCAATCTAAGATTTTAGTCAATCAGGACTGCATCCAAAGTTTCCTTTTAAATATATGAATGGTTACATATAAATAAATTAAGGGTACAAATAAAAGGTTTAAAATTATGGGTACAAATAAAAGATTAAAACAATGATGGGTGTACACAAGGTTCTAAAAGGCGCTAGTCGAGTGGCGGTCAAGGGCCTAGCGCCTAGCGCCTAGGTATCTAGGTGGGGCCTAGGCAATTTTTTTAATTTTAATTAAATTTATTATATAACATATAAATAAATGTTTGCTTATACTTGAAAAAATATATAATTATATTGAGATACATAAATTACAAAATAGATTGACATAGATTATAAAGTATTACAACATATTGAGAACATGGAAGCATATAATGAGTGTTCATCCAAGTATTCGACAAGTCTATGGTAATTTATTGAAAAAATAAAATGCAAAATGAAATGAGTGTTCATTCAAGTATTCAACAAGTTTATGATAATTTATTAAAAAAATAAAATGCAAAATGAAAATTATCTATTTTTTGTCTAAATAAGAGACACGATCTAGTTGGGTGCCTAGGCAGGGCTAGCCGCCTTTTTTAAATTTTCATACATCTAGGGATTATTCGGGGCGGTGGCTAGCCGCCTAGCCTCTAGGTGTGGATTTCTAGAAGAGTGGGTACACATAAATATTTCAAAATATGGGCATAGAAAGAAATTAAATTTATGGGTATAAATTAAAATAAAAAAATTGGTTGCAAATTAAAAAATGGGTACAAATTAAAAATAGATATATTTGGAAATGGTTAAATGATTTTTAATTATAAAATTGAATATGCTGACATGTAATTGAAATAATGGCGTGGATAAAAACCAAAACTTACTTATAAATTTACTCCATTTAAAATTATTTTGGTTTCCCACTTCATCAAAATTTACTTATGCATGAACCAAAGAAGGATAAACTGTTATTGTTGTGAGCAAGGTAGGAAGGAAAAGACAACGAAATTTTCCTCTCACTCTCACTCTCTCACGTATGTTTTGTATTCAGTCTTGTTACCATAATAAAACTTATTGGCCTTTCAAGATCTTAAAAGGCTTAGAAGTCAATGGTATATCACTTTGAATTCCAGACTGATTCTTATTTAGGTTATTTTTCCGAGTCCAGGTACAATCACAGGAGTCAGCTGGTGTGATGCACTACTTGTCTGCTGGTGCATGGGATCCACAGGATATCAATGCTGTTGCAGCGACATGTGAATCATCCATTCAGTTTTGGGATCTACGAACAATGAAGTACGTATTAACACTTGCATTGTTTTTATTCGTTAAACAGGGCCAACATGGATTTTTAAACTTAATTAGTCAAATCCTCATGTGAAGCATATATTAAGTTTTGATAGTTCACATGAAGGGACTGGCTTGTCATTCTACAGATTATATTTATTATCAACCAGGAATGAACAGAGCTATTTTAGGGACTGTTACTTGTTTGAGGTTTTTGTCATCAATATCCTTTCTTGATCAATAATAGTTACCGTTTATCTGCAGGAAGACAAATTCTATTGAGCATGCTCACGTTCGCAATGTTGATTATAACCCCAAGAAGAAACATGTGCTTGTAAGAATGTAGTTTTCTATTCCTCTGAGTGTGCTTGTTTCATTCTCTGTCTATATTTAATTCATTCTCTTCAATTATTCTCTCGAGTCGATTCTGAATTTGAGAACTTGAAAGATGTTCACATAACTTGCATGCTCGACACATTGCACTGATACAGAGACAAGGATTAGTCTATTGTGTTGCATAAAAATCGAGTAACAGTATTCTCATCTCACAAGAAATCTGTCTACTTTCAAAATACATTAGAGCATTTCGCAGAAAAAATGAATAACAGGGTGTACTTATGTCTTCCAAAATACATAATGATTAATTGACAGGGTGTACTTATGTCTTCCAAAATATATAATGATTTTTTTCTTTTTATTTTTCTTTATCATTTCTCAACATGGCAGTTATCACGATCATTTGTTTCTGTTACTATATCACAAATTGTTAACACTTTTACAGATAACTGCAGAAGATGAATCTGGTATACACGTATGGGATCTTAGGAAGCCAAACGTGCCTATCCACAAGCTTCCAGGACACACACAGAGGTAAATATTTTCTGTACTGTTGCATTTCGGTCTCTTCAGCCATGGTTTTGCCTGATGACCTTTTGTGCATCGGTGTATGTTTCAGAATTTTTTGGATGTTCATACTTGTATCAAAGAAGTGCCAATAATTGCAAACTTTAATTGTCTGATCGTTACCTTTTGAAATTTTTTCAGGACATGGGCTGCCCGGTATAACCCTGAGTACGATGGGCTGATGTTGGTTTGTTCTCTCTCTCTCTCTCACTCAAAGGCGGATTGATCCATTGCTTAACTCTTACAGTGACCTATGAAGATAGTATTTATGGTAACTAAGGCAACTCTTGAGGCATATAATTGATTTTTTTTTTTTTATATTTTTTTTATCTTAAACTAAATTAATTTTACTTGAAACTATAGGTCTTGAATGGAGCTCTAGTGAGCCTTGGATCTTTGCATCATTATCCTATGATGGGAGGGAAAGAACCACTAGGGACACCAAGATCTATTTGTTTCAAATCATTCATTTTTTTCTTCCAGTAGAAGCATGAATTTTAGTATAAGTTTTGTTAAATGATGCCAGTTTCATATGCATTTGTAACATGCTTTATCTGCAATTCGCATGTATGCATCAAATGCGTCATCGTCACGCAGGCATGTATTGTCTATGTTTTGAAAGAAGTGTGCGCGCTAACCAGTTAAACTGTGTCTGATAAAGGTGAAATTCTTTCTTTTCCATGAAAAACAGGTAGTTGTAGAATCAGTGAAGCCATTTCTGTCCAAGAAATAAGGTTTGAGAAACTGGTCCCTGTTGTTGTGTTTGGTCTACTTAGTGTGTGTTGTTCTGATTTCGTTTGAAATTCATTCATGTGTTGAGTACAATTCATCTTTCTTAGATTTCGTCTTTGTCAAATAAGCTCATTGTATTTCCCTCCCTCCCCCTTTTAGTTATTTGAATGATTACTTGAATAATGGGTTGCTTAACACGTGCGACTGTTACCAATTTTGATCTTATCATCTCTTGTTTGAAGGATGTGAAGGATATGCACCCTTTTTCCTTAACACTGGAATTTCAAAACTTATACTTGTGCTGCTCTACCAATCTTTTTACATCAACTCTCTCATTGCTTGACGATTCATGCAATGTGAGAGACGCAAGCACAAGAATACATAATAAAATCGAAGACTCTTGAAGGTGGATTTTTGTTTTGGTTTATGAGGTGGTAGTTGTCGACAAAGATGGATTTGTTGCCTCCCCAACTTTCGTGATCAAGTGACGACGTTAACCTTATCCAATCCAGATTCCAGACGCGCCAAAAGAAATGTGCTTGGTTTCCTCGTCCTCCAACAGCACAGGAGACATCCAAGTGGTCCCACATGTTGTATCAGCCAGACACATGGCCATCATTACACCATGACTCTCTCTCGTGCCACCTCCTGCTTTACACGTACGATACCTTATCCTTCTTTCTGTCAAATGCAAGATCGTTTATCCACAAGCATTTCTAAGCTCATGGTCAACAGGTGCTCCGGCCATGTCATCAAGCTGCCAAGGACTGACACGTGGCGGAGCCAATTGGCTAGACGCGTGTCAAGCAACCTGATAAGGGTTTATGGAATTCGGAAGCCCTCTGCCTATTGGAAGGATAAGGATTGTCTGTCGTCCCACTTCCAGTGTTCTTCCGTGCCCTCTGTTTGTATGGTTACAGTTAACCTACGTTAACATTTTATATTACTATTCAATTTTGTTTTATTATATCTATAAAAAAAACAATATAAAATGTTGACGTAGCTTAACCGTGGTCACACAAAACAGAAAAGAACGGAAGAGCACCAGAAGTGGAAGGGCAGACAATCCTTGTTCCTATTGGAATGGGTGGTTGTTTTATTTTCTACCTATATTTTAACAAAAATATTAGTGAAAATCTTTTTTAGAAAAAGACTTTTAGACCCCTACCCCTTTTCTCTTCCCTACCGTCTCTCTCTTCTACCCCCATTTCTCTTGCCTCGTGCTTCTCTGTCTTCTATTTCTTCTCTCTCGGCTTCTCCACCGACCGCCACGGCTGGAAGCTGCGGTTGGTCCACAAGCTCATGCCCATTAGAAGCCGCCAAGAAGCATTGCTGGATTGGAAGTGCCGGGAGCTTATAGTTTGGAAGAAAAGGTTTGGTGTTGTGCTTGATGTGGCTCTTGGGCTCGAGTATTTGCACCATGTTTGTGACTCACCGGTGATTCACGGTGATGCGAAGCCCTCGCAATGTGTTGCTGGACTAGGATTCCCAATGCCAAGATTGGAGATTTTGGATTGGCGAGGTTGAAAACAGAGGTGGATGGTCAGGGTGAGCACGGTGGAGTTTTGGTGGAGGAAGGGCAAGAGGAGGAGGAGGATGAGAAAGAGAGCGGGAAAGGGAAAGCGGGATGGGGATGATAATGGGTTGATTTTGGAGGAGAGTGAGTTTGAATGTTGTGACTGGCGGGCTTGAAGAGGGTCGGTCGCCCGAGTGTTGTGTGGTGAGGATTGGGGATTCCGTACGACATGGCCGGAACGGGGTTTTATTAAGTGGAGTATTGAAGGTAACTTTCGGAATAATAGTAAATGGGGAAAATATAATGTGGATAGAAAATAGTACAATGGTGTGAGCACTGTTATTTTTTTGTGGTTTCAAAGTGGATAAAGTATTCGGCAATCATATGTTTGAATTTAGCGCAAATTCAAATCAATAGAGTTCTATTTTTTGAAACAGTTGTGGGGGAAGGGGAGAAATTATCCTGTTTTTGAAATACATGGTTTAGGATAAACTAACTCGTAACCTCACATATCTGCATTAAGGGGAGAGTCGACAAAGTCTTGCAATGGACTAACCATAATATTTGGTTCGAATTCGTTATTGATGATAATTGAACTTAAAGATCTCTCACTGTACAAGTGTGGAGTAATACTATTGAACCTTAGTAGTAAGTTACAACTGATCCCTTGATTTTAGTTGAAGTGGTTGGAAAGTAGTAACAAACTTGCATCAAAAGGACGAGATTTGAATTCACCAATGTGACACGTGTTGGGCATTCAAAGTCATGTAAACGATGCATGATGTTGCAAATGTAAAAAAATTAATGTATGTAAGTTTTTCTCGTTATTTCATTAAAATGCGTATATATAAATATGAAAGGATTCACTTTGAAACTAGTGTTGTGTAGTTAGAATAAATCATCTTCTTATTATTCTTGTTATTTTATAAGAATGAGGAAGGAACATAGGGTTTAGGATTGAACACAGCTTTCTGAACCGAAGCAATCGAATGAACAAGTAGCTACTTAATTTGTTATATGAATTTTGGCTAGAGTAAGAGTCAAGACTTGTGGAAGAGAGCACGTGTAAGCGGTAGAGAGAGCCATGGTGGAGAGAAACACAAAACAGAAGAAAGAATGGATGTGGGGTCGAGTCTGCTCACGTGTAACGGTGGTAAGATAAAATCGCGGGATTGGATACGGAAGGCACGGCCGATTGCGTTGCACTCGCAGCCACCAACCCATCTCCCTCACTCGAGTCTGTTTTGCTCGGATTTGGATCCTCTCTTGAGCTAATGGAGAGGATCTCCCTCATCAATCATCCATGGTCGTTGAATTTTTATCCAACTGTTACAATTGTTATAACTTTAAAAGAATTCCTCTGTTTGTAGTTGTTGGATAAAAATCCAATGACCAAGGATGATTGATGAGGAGGATCCTCTCCATTAGCTCAGGGAATGATCCAAATCCGTTTTGCTCACCCTTAACTTAAGGTGACTGTTACCCTTTCTAGAATCTCGCCACGTCTCTTTAAAGGATGGGATATCTATGAAGGAATAAAATGATCGGCCCTGTTTTTAATTAATTCAATTGTTTATTTTTTTTATATTTTAAATTTAATTAAATATACAGATAACCATGAGGCCAAATTTTAATCGCCCTAATCTCTAATTTCTCCAATTTCTGAGTCTATCCTTCAATTTCCTGTATAACACAGTCACACCCACCACATCATTACCATTTCCCTCCACCGTCTCTCTTTCTGTCACATCCAGGAGGAGGAGGAGGAGAAATTGAAAAAGGTGGAGAGGTTGGTTTACAAAAGACGAGAGGAGGCGAGGCCTCCCGAGTCCCCAGTCGCTCCATCCTTCCTTCCTTCCTTCCTTCCTTGGTTGTTCATCTTCTTCTGGCCAGTGGCCACAGCCCACCTCATTCAATCAGTCAATTTTCAAATGTCGCTAAAACAAAGATTCGCTCGAAATTCTCTGCTTTTTGCTCTCATTGCCCTCCCTCCCCCTAACCTTCTCCCCTTCCCTTATTTCTTTCTTTATAAATTGAACTACTAACCACATTACTTCTCCCACCTCATCAATTAATTAATTTCCCCCAAACCCAAACCCAAAACCAAAACTCAACCCAAACGCAAAACCCAAACCCAAACTCAGGGAGAGAGAGAGACTACTTAGTCAGTCTCCCACTCTTACTCCTACTGTGAGGACTCCCTCCCAACCCTCTCAGTGTCAGTCCACGTTTCCTCCGCTTGGGATTCATTGGGATGGCTTTTTTGTAAACGCAATGGTGGCCACTTCCAGAGGCTTCGCTTCTCCGCCTGATTTCAAGCTCACCCGTCTCGGCCTCGCTTTCCATCCACATCCCCAACCCCATCCTTCTACTGCTACTAATGCCGGCCGCCCGTGGGATCTCAGGAAGCGCAGGAGGAGACTCTCCCTTCCCAGGGCTGACCCACCCGTAGTCACTCTAATCACTTGCTGCTGCTCCGACTCCGTTGTTCCGATTCTCTCCGGAAAGACCGTCGACAAGGCGGACGACCGGCGCTTCGATTCCAAGAAAAGGGCTCACAGAGCTGCTGGAGTCCAAGCCTCCGCCGCATTACCCTTCTTCGCTTCGTCTTCCTCTTCTTCTCCTGCTCAGTACGTTACATTTTCAATTTCATTTCAATTTATGAGGGAATTTACTTCAATTCCATTCTGTTTGTTCAAGTATTGTTTTTGGCTTTTGGTGTTTATAATTAATTCACTCTACTCCACTGTATATTGCTGCAGATCTCGCTTCCTGTCCAAACAAGAGAAACACTACCCTCGCTGTACCCCAAGAAACTCCGGCCCGCAATCTCGTGACAGTCCTCCGAAAAGAGGTAATTCAATCAATCAATCAATCAATCATTCACCACTTGCTAATATACCATCATTGTGCTTCATGGATGGTTTCGGTAGATAATTACTAAGATATTTGATTGATCATTGTTCTTGTTGTGATTATTGTGGTGTTTGATATGTTTTATAGATACTGGCATTGCCAATGAGAAGGAGTGGGGCATCAGCTTGTTAAACGAAAATGTAAACGAGTCTGGCACCAATGAAGATGGCAGCACTTGGTATCGCGAAAGTGGCGAGGACCTTGGCAACAATGGCTACAGATGTAGGTGGACAAGGATGGGTGGTACCTCCCACGACGCTTCTTCACAATGGAAAGAAACTGTATAATATCATAATTTATCATAATTATTTTGCTTTTTTAACTTTGTTAGCTCTGCCATATATGACTTGACGAACCTTCTTGACTATCCTTCACTTTATTAGGCATCTCCGTCATTTTGTTTACAGTAATAGTTATCACTGAATTCTAAGATTGTATTATCAAGGCGCCTTATATTTCATGCTCGAAAGCCCTAAAAAAGTAGAGGGGGACTTGGACATCCTGCTACCTGTAAACTAACGTCATATTCATATTCTAAGTCCCTTGCTGCCTTGACTTTGTCTTTATAACCCCATTGAGAATCATCCCAGGTGGATGCATTTAATTGGATTTATTGATCTTATTGACAGTGGTGGGAGAAAAGTGACTGGACCGGATACAAAGAGCTAGGTATACTTCTTCCTTGTCTTCATCTTCAACTGCTAGCTATCATTAACCATGTCCATCACTATAAAATTTCAATGAATGAGATATCTTAGGTTCTTCATTGTCCTGAATAAACCACAAACTTCAGAGTGGTTTGATATAAACAAAACAACACATTCATTTTTCTAGACGGGAAAAATGTTTTTGCTGCAATATAAAACATATATGGTCCTCTTAAAGTAAATTTGTAGGCACTGTCTTCGTAGGTCCAGTATCATCCTTGTTTCTGGAAATTTTTGAACTCAACACTTCACACTGCTGTGGAAAACTAGCACATATATCTAAGGGCATTGAACGACAATCATTCACTACAGACTTGATTAATTAATCAATTTCTGCTTTTTTTTCTTTCTGAAGACACTGTTCTGTCCTGTATACGTTTACAGTAACTCGTCTTTCAGCTAATTTCATTACTATATCATGGGCATGGGTACATATAGGCATGCATAATTCCCATCTGTTATCTTTTCATAGGTGTGGAGAAATCTGGTAGAAATGCTGAAGGGGATTCATGGTGGGAAACTTGGCAAGAAGTTCTTCATCAAGATGAATGGAGGTCTTTATTTTAGCTCTATTTCATTAAGTTTTAGAGAATTACTTTTAACTTACTAAGTGAGCGGTAGTTATAGAAATTTTTTTAATTTATATTTCTTGACCTCCTCTTGTTTCATTCTCCCAATATAAATTAATGTTGCAACTTTGAAAGCACAGTAATGTAGCAAGAATTGAGAGAAGTGCACAGAAACAAGCAAAATCAGGCACTGAAAATGCGGGATGGTATGAGAAATGGTAAGCTAAAGTACGGTTTGCTGCTAATTCATTTTTCAGTCACATTATAATGCATTGATGAATTAGATAAAACATATGGACGATTTTACTTAATATTTTGGATGCAGGTGGGAGAAATATGATGCTAAAGGCTGGACCGAGAAAGGAGCACACAAATATGGTAGACTTAATGAGCAGTCCTGGTGGGAGAAGTGGGGAGAGCATTATGATGGAAGGGGATCTGTTCTCAAATGGTTTTTTTTTCTAATTATCTTCTCTAACTGACTTGATTTAATTCTTCATCTGTTCATATTAAAACAAAAAACCCTTCATTGTTCCTCCTTCCTCTTAAATTCAGAAATTCGTTTGTCATCTGGTATCATCATTTGACCATTTACAATGAAAAGTATGAAGCACAATATAGGCAGCTAAAAAATATCTAGTCATTGATATATGCTGGATGCTATAATTTTCAGGACTGATAAATGGGCTGAGACTGAACTTGGAACCAAATGGGGAGACAAGTGGGAAGAGAAGTTCTTTGCTGGAATAGGTTCACGACAAGGGGAGACATGGCATGTATCGCCAAGCGGTGAACGTATGTGGAAGGACCTTGAACTATGATTAACACAAAATTTGTTTGCCCCTTAATTGTTTCCTTTTACTATATAGTCTTGAATCCGTTCCAATTATTCAGATCTTCATGTTCATTTAACTTTCAATAATGTAATCTGAGGCAACTCTGTTTTTGTTCTCTAATGTCTAGGTTGGTCAAGGACATGGGGAGAAGAGCACTTTGGAAATGGGTACGGAAAAGGGATAAGCTTGCTGAACTGCATTGTCATCTATTGTTTTGGTTTTTCTTTGACAAGTTGACTTGCTTTCTCTTTGCAGTAAGGTGCACAAATATGGGAAAAGCACGACTGGGGAAAGCTGGGATATTGTTGTGGACGAGGAGACCTATTATGAGTAATAGTTTCTCACTCTCTCTGTTTCTCTCTCTGTCTCCAACTCACTCTCCACACACACTTCGTGCTGGAGGTGGTTCTGTTTGCATATAGTATACTGAAGCGGTCAAAAGGATTCTAGGGAATCAAATATATGTATAATTTAGATTATATCTTCTGTTATTGCTTTTACTGTAAAACTAATTTTGATTTTTCAATCTTTGATGAAGGGCTGAGCCGCATTACGGATGGGCAGATGTTGTTGGTGACTCTAGCCAATTGCTGTCAATTAAACCTCGAGAAAGGCCACCTGGTGTCTACCCTGCCCTTGATTTTGGATCATTGTCGCCTCCGGTTGATGAACCGCCAGATGAATTTTCTCCACAATGAAAGGTGACCAAACTTAGGTGGTCCAGTTTAGAATGTGGATCGAAGTCCAATTATATTGGCTGAAACTCGTCTTTTGTAACGGACATTTTAGTCTTCATTTTATTCATTCTTTCAGTCGCCACTACGTTTAGTTTTGAGTTTTTAGTTAGGCTGAATGCTGCTATATTTTTTCGCATTATTTTTTTGGAGAGTTGCATTCTACTTCTTCCACACCCGACGGAGATTTCTGGTATCTATATGTTCTTGCTTGTATGACCAAAATACGTTTTCACAATTTTGATTCGGTTTTTTCAACTTTTGCAAAAATCATTACAAGGTCTTATTCGGTGCTGTTTTCTAGGACGTTATCCGTCGGGAGATTTCAATGACCCCCGGAAAAAGTTTTGATGAATTTTCTAAATCACAAAATAGAATAATAGATAGGAAAATACTAGCATGGTCCTAGAATGGTCCTGGCATCCGTATCGTCTTTCAAAGGTCTTTTTAGGAAAAACGTACTAATTTTTACAAGCTTAGGGTGTGCGGAGAAAATTAAATTGAATTCTCAAAAGTCTTTTTAGAAATTGGCAAAACCGTTAGCTACTTATAGCTCACAAATTTTTGTAAAAATCGATCGACTTAAATAGTGTACTAAATGTACATTTGTTGGTCAATAAATCACAATTCTGCTTCCAAATGCCTTATAAAATTTTCCTCAATGCTCACAGAAAAAAATTCGTGAAAATAAAAAATTTGCATTTTTGACAAAAATCGTGGTTTTTAGTCGGTTTTTACAAATTCGTACATAATTCGTCGTTCAGACTATTTGTTTTCATACTCGCCTCACCGTGAAATTTAAAAATTAAATTAATACTTTCCGTTAATATTCTTGAGGGTGGAACCCTATTTTAATAATATTTATTGCCTCACTACTATATTTTTCACTATTCTTTTAGCTTTCAACTTAAATCGTTTACTAAATATACATTTGTTGATCAATAAATTAGATATCTGCTTCAAAATGCCTTATAAAATATTCCTTAATGCTCACAGAAAATATTTTGTGAAATTTTTTTTTTGCATTTTTGACAAAAAAACGTGGGTTAACACCCACGGTTTTTAGTTAGTTTTTACAAAGTCGTATATAAATCGTCGTTCAAACAATTTATTTTCACATTCACCTCACCATGAAGTTTGAAAAGTGAAGTAATACTTTCCGTTAATATTCTAGAGGGTGGAACCCAATTTTAACAATGTATTGGGCTTCAGTATTATATGTTTCACTTATTTTTTAGTTTTCAACTTAAATAGTCTACTAAATATACATATGTTGCTCAATAAATCTTAAATCCACTTCCAAATGCCTAATAAATTTTCCTTAATGCTCATGGAAAATATTTCATGAAAACAGAAAATTTGCAATTTTGACAAAAAATAGGGGTTAAAACTCACGGTTTTTAGTTGGTTTTTATAAATTTGTACATAAATCGTCATTCAAACTATTTATTTTCACCCTCGCCTCACCGTGAAGTTTGAAAATTAAAGTAATAGTTTCCATTAATATTCTTAAGGGTGGAACCCCATTTTAACAATGTTTTAAGCCTCACTACTATATTTTTCATTATTTTTTTAGTTCGACTTAAATACTCTACTAAATATACATTTGTTGTTCAATAAATCGTAAATCCGCTTCCAAATGCCTTATAAAATTTTCCTAAATGCTCACGGAAAATATTTCACGAAAATAAAAAAGTTTGCATTTTTGAAAAAAAAAAACGTGTGTCACGGTTTTTAGTCGGTTTTTACAAATTCGTACATAAATCGTCGTTCAAACAAGTTACTTTCAGATTCGCTTCAATGTGAAGTTAGAAAATTAAAGTAATACTTTCCGTTAATATTCTTGAGAGTGGAACCCTATTTTAACAATGTTTTAGGCCTCACTACTATAATCATAAAACCACTTCCAAACACCTTATAAAGTTTTCCTTAAAACTCGTGAAAAATATTTCACAAAAATAAAAAATTTCATTTTTGACCAAAAAAACGTGGGTTAACACTCACTGCTTTAAGTCGGCTTTGTAAATTTGTACATAAATCACCGTTCAATCTATTTATTTTCACCTTCGCCTCAATGTGAAGTTTTGAAAATTAAGGTGAGACTTTCCATTGAGATTCTTGAGGGTGGAACCCCATTTGACAATGTTTTGGTCCTCATTATTGTATTTTTCACGTATTTTTTTTTCTTCAATTTTTGGCTTAAATATTCCACTAAACATACATTTGTTGCTCAATAAATCATAAAACTGATTCCAAACACCTTATAAAGTTTTCCTTAATGTTCGCGAAAAATATTTCGCAAAAGTAAAATTTTTCATTTTTGACCAAAAAAACGTGGGTGTTACACAACTTTTAGTCGGTTTTGCAAATTCGTACATAAATCATCGTTCAATCTATTTATTTTCACATTTGACTCAATGTGAAGTTTTGAAAATTAAGGTGAGACCTTTCATTGAGATTCTTGAGGGTGGAACCCCATTTGACATTGTTTTGGTCCTCACTATTGTATTTTTCACTTATTGTTTCAATTTTCGACTTAAATATTCTACTAAGAATACATTTGTTGCTCAATAAATCATAAAACCACTTCCAAACACATTAAAAAGTTCTCCTTAATGCTCGCAGAAAATATTTACAAAAATAAAAAATTCCATTTTTGACCAAAAAAACGTGGGTTAACTAACACCCACGATTTTTAGTCAGTTTTTACAAAGTCGTATATAAATCATCGTTCAAACAATTTATTTTCACATTCGCCCCATCGTGAAGTTTGAAAACTAAGATAATACTTTCCATTAATATTCTAGAGGGTGGAACCCGATTTTAACAATGTTTTGGGCATCACTACTATATGTTTCACTTATTTTTTCAGTTTTCGACTTACATAGTCTACTAAATATACATATGTTGCTCAATAAATCTTAAATCCACTTCCAAATGACTTATAAATTTTCCTTAATGCTCATGGAAAATATTTCATGAAAACAAAAAATTTGCATTTTTGACAAAAAAAACATGGGTTAAAACTCACGGTTTTTATAAATTCGTACATAAATTGTCGTTCAAACTATTTATTTTCACCCTCGCCTCACCGTGAAGTTTGAAAATTAAAGTAATACTTTCCATTAATATTCTTGAGGATGGAACCCTATTTTAACAATGTTTTAAGCCTCACTACTATATTTTTCATTATTTTTTTTAGTTCAACTTAAATACTCTACTAAATATACATTTGGTGCTCAATAAATCGTAAATTCGCTTCCAAATGCCTTATAAAATTTTCCTTAATGCTCACGGAAAATATTTCACTAAAATAAAAAATTTGCATTTTTGAAAAAAAAAACATGTGTTAACACTCACGGTTTTTAGTTGGTTTGTACAAATTCGTACATAAATCATCGTTCAAACAATTTATTTTCAGATACGCTTCAACATGAAGTTAGAAAATTAAAGTAATACTTTCCATTAATATTCTTGAGGGTGGAACCCTATTTTAACAATGTTTTAGGCCTCACTACTATATTTTTCACTTATTTTTTTAGTTTTCAACTTAAATAGTGTACTAAGTGTACATATGTTGCTCAACAAATCGTAAATCCGCTTCCAAATACCTTATAATTTTTTTCTTAATGCTCACTGAAAATATTTTGCGAAAATAAAAAATTTATGTTTTTGACAAAAAACATAGGTTAACACTCACGGTTTATTGTCAGTTTTTACAAATTTTGTATATAAATCGTCGTTCAAACTATTTATTTTCACCTTCGCCTCACCGTGAACTTTGAAAATTATAGTAATACTTTCCGTTATATTCTTGAGGGTGGAACCCCATTTTAACAATGTTTTGGGCTCCACTACTATATTTTCACTTATTTGTTTGGGTAAATTATACAAAACAACTTCAACTATTGGGCCAATCATAGTTTCATACCGTATCTTTAAAATATTTCAATGTCATACCTTATCTTACGAATTTGTTACAATATCAGAACTCCGTTAGGTTTTCTATTAATCTCTCTAATAAATGCCGATGTGGCTTGAAACGGGCCCCACTTCCTATTCCAACTAGATTAAAAAATTAACTAAATATTAAAAAATTAAAAATCAAATCATTTAAATATTTTATAAAACAAATATGGGACCCACCCTTTATCCTCCTCTCACTTCTTCCCTGCTCTCGTCTTCGCTTAGCCCAACAACAAAACCACCCTACCCAGCCTTCACCTGCCAATCACCACTCTTTCTTAGTGTACCACCCAGCTCAAACTCGTACCTCCAATCCCAAATGGTTTTATCCATCGTCCCCGCCTCCCAGACCCCAAACCCAATCGTCCTAGCCTCCTCTCCCAAACCCCAAACCCAATCGTCTCGGCCTCCTCTCCCAAACCCCAAATCAAAACCCAGAAAACCTAATCGAACCCGATATCCTTCGTCCCCAAAACCTAAGCATAGCTGCCTCCTGCCCCTTGAGCCAAGACCCACAAACACTTGAGTAAAGCCCGAAGCTTTCTTCAAAGCAGGAGAATTTGAAATTTAGGACAGGAGGTGAGGCGGAGACTGGGATCGTGGACGACTGCAGTGGTGGTGGAGACTGAGGCCATGGGAGACGGCAGTGGTGGTGTTGTGGACATTGCTATGAGGATGATTAGTGCTAAGAAATTGAAATTTAGGGTTTGGGTGGAATTGGGGTATTTTGTTTGAAATTGGTTACAAGGATTAATTTGGTGAGGGTGATGGGTGTGTAGGAAGAGGGGGAGGGGGATGAGCACCATGGGAGGAAGGTGAAGATGGAGGAAGAGAGGGTAACGGTGGGGTTTTGGTTTTGGTGGTAAGGAAGGTTAGGGGGAATCGGGTGGATAAGGAAGAAGGGGTGGTGGGTTTATAGGGGTGGGTCCCCCATTTAAAAAAAATATTAAATGATTTTGTTAGTTTTTAATATTTAATTAATTTTTTAATAGGGAGTGGGCCCCGCCTCAAGCCATGTCAACATTTAACTGAGGAATTGATAGACAAACTGACGGAAGGTATGACATTGCAACAAATTAGAAGATTAGGTATGACATTGAAATATTTTAAAGATGGGGTATGGAACTGTGATTGGCTCAATAGTTGAGGTAATTTTGTGTAATTTGCCATATTTTTTTTTTTGTTTTCAACTTAAATAGTCTACTAAATATACATATGTTGCTCAATAAATTGTAAATCCGCTTCCAAATGCTTTATAAATTTTCCTTAATGCTCACGAAAAATATTTCGCA